TCCTAAACAAAAATACCATATTCAGGATCAGCGTAAAAAACTATATCGAAACATGTATTTGATGTCTTTTCCTTAAAAATACTCATTTTTTTAAAAAGTCACCTCAGATCATTGTTCGTCAAAAACTATAATTTCAGCCCAAATCTTATCAAATACATGTTTCGATATAGTTTTTTACGCTGATCCTGAATATGGTATTTTTGTTTAGGAAAAGTCATTTTAGCTGCTGATAGCGGTCAAACATACCGGCCAAAATTAAGGATTGCTAATACATTTTTCAACACACAAATCTCCAATTTCTTCAGCTTCAGCATGACGACTTTGATATTCTCAGGATTAGCAGTACAATAAGAGAGACTCTGGGGGGAAAACTTAACAAACTCCGACGGGGATATTTGGAAAAATTGAGTCGAAAGTTTTAGTTTTTCGAGATGATCAATCGACACCTTTTCACTGAAAAGTGAAAGGGGATGAAGATCTAATTCTTGTATAACTGGATAGTTAATAAGCTAAACCTCATTTCGAGTATAAGTATGTTGTATTTAAAAACGTTGAACCTTTTATTAAATAATATCTTAAGCCGTTAAAAAGCTTCTGCAAATGTTAGAGCAGATCATAGGTAGAGATCTGCAGAAGATCAATGAAGAAAAACACCATCTGTGGTCGATTCACCGGAAATTTTCATTTCGTAGCTAGAAGAAAGTGAAACTGCATATGGATGAATTTCTCTTTTCGGTTTGAAAACGGGCGCTTGAAAATCGAAAACTGTATCAATACACTGACGTATATATCTAGAATTTGACTTATTATTCAAAAGTAAGTTTCATCAAGATCTGGAGTTCATATAGGCCACGACCTATTCACAGGCTTACACAACTTCCATACGTACTTGATGCTTGAGTAAGAAAACGTGGATTGTTAGAATATTTTGATATTGTTTCGTTAATATTTTCGCATGTAAATAGATCGAATATCTTGCCTTCACGTTTTATTAAATTTGGAATTGTCTGTATCAATCCCGGTTCGTATTTAACATGATAAGTTAATTCGAGGATATTACAAATGTCATCAAATTTTGTTTTTATGCATTTGTCCAAAAATTGATCGATATTAACAATAAGATTTAAATGTTGTAATGGAATTTTTCTGTTTATTACAACAATAAACATTTCTTGTTCGTTGATCATGACATTCTGCGCAAATTGTGCCATCTAAAGTAAAAATATGCAGAAAAGTTATCTAAGTTCTTGTAGATATGTAATGTCGGTCAGTGGAAGTACGGAATTAAACAAGAATATTTTTCATTTAAACATATATTCTGCTTCCAAACAACGATTTTTACAATTAAATTTTATACGTAAGTGAGCAAAACAACCTAATATCCAAATAGAGAGCAACAAATTTCACTATACAACCACTTATGTAATAACAATACAAAAGCAATTGGAGCAGAAACAAACAAAAAAATAAAAAAACGAAAAAGGATCAAATACAGACACATCTCAAAAGTTCTTTCCTAAAACCTGAATTTCTGATTACGAGATAATCACTGGTGAGAAAAAAACACTTCCGAGCCAATGCAGTGGCCGTTTAGGATATTTTCAAATTTAAGCGAATAAAACCATAATCATAACCCATATTTAATCAACAGTTATATTTTTTCACAAACGTCAAAAATCAAGCAAAATATATCATAAAATAATAGACTTTATGCACTCAAAACTATCTATAAGAAGAAGAGAGTTTTGAAGTACCATCTTTCCCTTGGATTTAAGAATATAATATAAAAATATCACTTTCGACACAAAGAACTTTTTCAGGTTAGACGCTAAAAATTAATCAAATTGGCTTTATTGAGAAACGAAGTTAACTCACTCAAACTATTTCAGAACTAGTCCAACGAGAGGCTACGTTTCTTTCTATCAGCCGTTATCACACAAAACTGAAAAACTCACCTAAAATCAGTAAGCTGTTTTGTCTTCGATTAAAAGGAAACATCAGAAGAAAACTGTAAAGACGAAAAACACGATAACGAATACAACAACAAATCGTTGTACATATTTAGGGTAAACGTGAGAGTTTTAATTGTTTTTGATCGATTACGGCTTTCGCTACAGAAGTTAATTTTATGCGTCGTTTTCTGGTTAAATGTTCTATTTTCGTACTTTCAGCTTCTTGTGGTTGTTGTGAATTTGGCTGATGCAATTCATCACAGTTGTCTGGTTCTAAAAGAAATACTTGAGAATAGTAATATAAGCACTTGAGAGTCAACGCACAGACTTATTTTAGAGCGTAATAAAGCCTTCCTTTAAGAATTAGAAACAAATAAAAATTAAAAAAAGTTTTTTTAAAACTTTAGCAAAATATTCGGTCTAACGGATGAATATCGAATCTTTTGCTTTAATTAATTAAGCAAACTATTTTCAAAAAAAAGGTTTTTCTAATTTGGTTTTCACCTATTTGATTTGAAAAAAGTTAAGAAAGTTTTTTTATTCAAATGAATTTTAGCTGCTTCTCGTCTATCCGAAACAGATCCAAGTCTTTCCTACCTCCGTTAAACGTACAGACTGAAAGTAGATTTTTTCCTACCTATCCGAACAGATCAAAGGTATGGTTTCTTATTTCGTCCTTCTCATGTGCTCAGAACCTGTTGAAGCAAAGACCACAGATCTTTTAGAT